TCAAAGTACGTGCTCTCCTCCACAACCGCGACATCATCTTGAACGCCACGCTGTTCTGAACAAGCTCAGGATCATCCACATCGATGTCGAGGCCTAGCCGGATATTGGGGTCAGCAGCACGTTGACGCAGAGCTGGCGAGCACTCAGCCAGACTTGCCAGAAAACCCATCGAGAAAAAGTACTGTGGAAGCTTCAACACGATGTCTGGTGGCAAACCGTCTCCTCTCTCTGGCGGCTAACGTGGCTGCGAGCGGACCATTCTTACGCCTTTCAAGCTGCTCCGCTGCTGTGTCTTTCTCCGGCTGACTTCGGAGCAACTGGGCAATTGCAGCTGTCATCGTGGGTTGAGTTGATAACCGTGACAAACTCCATAAACTGTCCCACGGTGAGCTTCGCAAAACCACTTTTTGCAGCCCTTGCAAACCCAAGGGGGTGCGTGAACAAGCCACGCAAGCGCCTGCAGCTGCAGCACATAACCATGGCGTCGGCAGGGACCGTCACAGGCAGCGGCTGAACCTGAATGACATCCCCAAGAATCACAGATTCACCTGTAAACAATAAGAAAACCTCACCGAACGGGCACAGAAGAAGAAACGGCATGTGATCATTCGTTGATGTGACACTGTTCCCATCCAGCAGCAGCTGCATCGAAAACTCTGTCCACTGCACAACAAGTGAATGCGGCATCTGAGCTGGCCTGAATGCTCTTGAACTCCAGACAAGTGTTCGGGAAGGGTTGCGCGCAGCATCTGGCCCATGAAACATTGCGGCCATCTCTGCCTGGAAGGGCCGCTTGAGTAGGAACCATGCGTAGCGAAATGTTCCGCTCATGTTTGGAGACCGCACCCCCACGACTAATGTTTGGATCGGTTGCGAACATGAGAACTGCAAGCGGCAATGTCCAAAAAGCGCCTCGTTTGAGACCCACACAAAAGGCGCCTTGATAGCACAACGTCGTCTACCACTCCATGCACATAGAAGCGCAGGTAGATTTGCCACGCTTCCACTTTACGGAACTACAACCACCGTAGTCTCACTCCATGCTGGCACAAAGCGGGTGAATGCATCAACTTCTGCACACTGTCTTACACTTAGGTCGAGAGTGAGTTCGCGCAATGTGGCAGGGCTGTTGACGTGCGACCGTAGCCATCGACAAGACGTGACAAGACGCTTCCAGCGCACACAAGTCTTCTCCACATGCTACATAAGGGACGAGGATGGACCAAAACTCGCGCGGAAAGCTGCCAGCCCAGCCACTCAAGCCATCGCAAACCGACACAGACGACAAGCCGCCATAGACGTCATGCTCGCTCAGCAGATTGCATCGTTCGCAGACATCCCCTGCGCCGTAGTGCGCAAGATGGCGCGAGCAGTGCCACTGCAAGCACGAAGCGCAAAGGACACACATACCAGAGTCAAGTCTGTTCTGTCGGCAACACCGGATGCACCTGACGACGCAGTTTGCGGTGACATTGCAGGGCATCGCGTCAAGGTGGAAGTCACAAGGCTTCGTAGTGCGCGCCGCAAAAACCTGCACGAAGAAGCTTGAGTGCGAAGAGGGTCCACCGGAGCTGCCGGCCTAAGCTTTTCCTGAACTTCATTGTTGAGCGCGACGGACATCTCTCGTTCATATACCTTATAGTGAACACCCTATAGCCTATAGAAGCCTTTCTCGAATACCACCTGTACCCGATAGAATGCCTTATACAATAGCTTATGGAATTCTCTATGGAATGCCCTGCAGAATGCTCATAGAATACCTTATATTACACCCCTATATATGCCTTATAGAATACGACCTGGAATACTTTATATACCCCCGTCTATGAGATACCCCCCGGGTTTCCTTGTATATACCCCATAGAGAAGGACGTAGTTTTGTAGGGAAATCCAGGCGGAGCCAGATCTGAGAATTTCACAATTAGATCGTGGCTTGTTGAGTAAGGTAAGGGATATCTATGAAGGAAATCAGGAATCTAGAAGAATGGCCTGTAGAATACCTTACAGATCAACCCTTCTACAAGCCTTGAAGAATTACATATAGACTTCCCTAGGTAATACCTTAAAGAATGCCCCCATATACCTTATATATACCATATTGAATACCCCAGAGCCTAGAGAGGACCTTCCAGAATACCACCTATTAAAAACCTATGGAGCACCATATGGAATACCTTATACAATACAGTGCAGAATACCCTATAGAATGCCCTAAAGAATACCTCACAAAATACCCTCTAGATTCTAGATATGCCTGATAGCATGCCATCTGGAATACGCTATATTTTGCTGTTGGAATACCGTCGTATGATACCCCTAATTACCTTATACATACCCTACGAAAGAAGAATTGGTGCTATCGAACCCCGTTTGCTGTCCTCATTTTCGGAAAATGCAGAGGTTTGACAGCATCAAATCTTCTGAAACGACACCCTTCGGAAAATTTGATGCTATCGAACCGCGCTTGCTTGTTGTCCGAATCTGCAATGGATAACACATTAACCACGATTCCGTAGCACTAAATGGTCTAAAGCATTCACTTTCGGAAAATTTGAAGCTATCGAACCGCCCCGCGTTGCTGTCAGTTTTGCAATGGATGACAGAGCAGTGCAGCGGTTCGATAGCACCACTTTTTGGGAAAGGAGACCTTTCAGAAAAAATACGAAGATTTAGTGCTATCGAACCGCCCTTCACTGTCCCCATTGTCGGAAAATGCAGCGGTTCGATAGCACCTAATTTTCTGATTGGAAACCCTTCAACAAATTTGCTGCTATTGTTCGCTCTCCTCATTGTCGGAAAACGCAGCGGTTCGATAGCACCCTTCGGAAAAAATTGGTGCTATCGAACCGCCCCTCTTTGTTGTCAGTATTTGCAATGGATAACACAGCAGCACAAGGGTTCGATAGCACCCAAATTTTCTGAGGAAACCCTTCGGAAAATTTGGTGCTATCGAACCGCGGCTCCTTGTTGTCAGTCTTTGCTATGGGTAACACAGCAATGCAGCGGTTCGACAGCACCAACGCTTGTGAAAGGATACCCTTGCCTTAAGAAAAATTGGGTCTAACGAACCGCCCCTGTTTATTGCAATGGACAACTGGGCAGCGCAGCGGTTCGAATTCCATAACACCAACTTTTCTGAAAGGAAATTCTTCAGAAAAATCGAAGCTATCGAACATGCTGAAATGCAAGTCCACCTGCAACCCTCATCGGTGCCTCCTGCAGGCAGCGCACCCCTCTCTTGAAGTCCGTCCTGGCTCCAGATTCCAACAGTGTCATGGCCACTGTCCAGATTCAAGCTGCGGTTCCCTCAGACATGCCAAAAAAACATGCCGACGGCACCCGGACTTTAAGCAGCCAAAGCCTTCAGCGTAGGTCTCCTGACTCGGCCAGGCTTGCAGGACGATCGGCGAAGCGGCGCGGCTAGCTTCCAGTGCTGATCACAGTCAAACCTCTTATCGACAAGATACCCTCGAGATCCCTCGAGCTACTGCAACGAAAAAACTCAGAAGAGCTTTGTCCTCTACTCCAGCGCGAGGAACTCTCGAAAGCTGCTTGGCCTTGCAGGGAGCACTTTACCCAGTCACAACCATGCATCAAAAAGGAACCTTTCGGCGTGCCTCGCCGGCCCATCCGCCTACGAAAGCCTGGGTAGAAGATCGAGACTTGGTTTTTTACTACAGGAGGTCAGATATCCTCTCGGCGGTTTGCGTCCGTGTCTGCTATCGCCAACAGCAGCTCGCAATGGTGTACTCTACCACCCCGGGCCTTTCTGGCAAACCTAAATGCTTAATACAGCACCGCACGAGCTGCAGCGTCATGTGCAGACACGATTTTGACGAACACCCTTGCGAGAACACCGTAGAAGACCGTACATGCCCTGCAGGCCTCAAGACATCCCAGACAAGGGGCTCTCCCCACGATTGCCAGCCATGCCAGCGCGATATAGCGACACCTGCACTGCAGAGCTCTACAATTTGTTGCTGGTGATGCCGACGGCAGAGTGAGAACGAATGTTGGTGCTGCTGCTATGCATGTCTTCCAGGCTTCATCAGAAATTTCCCGCCCCTGTCATGCTCTTCACCAACAGCCCTTCCCGCCATATTTCCACACTACAGGAAACACGAAGCCATGCCTGGCGATCCTCCGCAACATGCCTGCCAAGCACGACTAGCTCCTGCTTGAGATGGACGGCGGCAGCCATCACAGTCCTCCTGAAACCTTTCCCTGAGTGCCTGTTTCACTGGCCCCGTCTCAATCAGCTGGATCTTCTAAATGGAAGGTTTGTTTGCTGGCGGACTGGGCTTCTTGTCTACCGACATCCAATGGGGACTGACATACCAGCACAGTGCATTGGTTGCAGCACGAGTGATGTCTCGGGCCTCATAAGTCTGATGAAGACGGGTTACTCTTTGTTCGCTCTTCGCAGAGAAGTGGATGAAGTGTGCGGCAGAGACCGCACTGTCATTTCAGAATCTGGTACGACACGGTCTGCCGACATGAAAGCCCCATCAAATTCTGCAATGCAATGCTTCATGTGCAACCGCCTCCTTTCCTTCGCTACAAATCGCGGGGAAGTAGTCGTGTCTCGATGGTTTCGATGCCAGTGAAAAGGAGAAACCCGACAGCTGTCCGAAAGCTGCTGACCTCTGGAGGCTGGAGCAAATATCAGTAATATCAGTGCAGAGAAGAGCTAAACAGGGATGTTCTGACATTCACGATGTCAGCATCTTGCGGTATGCATTCAAAACAGGCCCTGCGGGCGAAAATAGATCCCAAACAGCTCTCGAAGCATGCAGCAAACATGTGTAAGGCTCCTAATGCTCCTATCACCCGCTATCATCTCGTATTGACATCCTGTCGCCTTTGCTCAGGATCGCTTGGAAGGCTGACGCTGGGGGGTTTTGGTGAGGAGGGAGGGGGGAAGGGAGCGGGGAAGGCTCCTCAGCTCCTCAGCTCTCTGAAACAAAGGGCCCTGGTGAAGGCCGAAGGCTTCTCCAAGCTCAGGCCTCGGCCGGATTGCCCCTCCGCTGCGTCTAATTAACACGGTGCCATCACGTCTCACCCTTCACCTCTCTGAATCGCCTACGGCGCCTTGCGTTGCACTGAGGTTCAAACGCCGCGGGGCTGCAGAAGCGTCGCGTCACCGGCCTTCTCTGGCTTTGGAAAGAGCACCTGTGCCACACTTACAGAGTCTTTGCCGCTCATCTCTTTGCAGGCATGTTGGCTGTGCGAAGCTTCTCGGGTCCATGCCATGGGCATGACATTGTCCCAATCTGAGGTGATCATGTCGGAGCATGGCCTCATCAACCAAGTGTGTGGCCCACTAGCTTTCGCATTTCGCATTTTTTCGTCCTCCGCTCCAGGCTTCCGCGCTTGAAAAGCCACCCCGTTGTACGCTCGCGGTGCCAGCAGGTGCCACACCTGGACGACACCGAAGCCCAGCGAGACCTACCCCGATGACTCGTCTTCCTCTCCTGTGATTCGGCAAACGGCTTAACAAGCCTGCCCCAGAATGCATCATGTTTCGCTGCAGGCAAATGTCTTGCTGGGGCTCGGACCATCCATCAATGCAACCGTACTTAATCTCCTGCGAGTAGCGGTTCGAGCACACTGACTGTGACTAACAGCCATGCAGCAGAGACATGTCTGGCGGCTGAAACAAACTGCGCGACAATCCCACAACGTTGACAGAGACCACGCATGGCGACGCCCGTCCCTGCCGAGGGCGAACTCCACAGCAGAGGACAGCCTTGCATTCCGACCTTGGGCACTCAGGGGTGGCAGAGCTGAAGCGGCGCAATCCACACTACGAAGCTCTGACTGCATCGTGCAAAAGCCAGTATTCCTCGGTCTGCGATGCTGGCGGACAGTCGCAAACTTCTTGTCCGGCATGATCACCACCTCCATACGAGGTTCAACACACGCTGCCTAGAGTCGTGATTTGACCCGGTCAGGTCAACAACTGTACATCAATTGTACATCTCTCCACCGATGCAGACGATCGCTCGCTCCATGCACGGTCCGCCCGCCTTGATGGGGCCGTTTCGAGTGTTGCGCACCAGCGTCAGGGTCACCCTGGCTCAAAGGCTCGACGCTGTCACGGTGTGTCACGGTCACGGCTGGGGCAAAGGCGAGTCGCCCTCGGACTCCCCTACCAACCTCGGCAGGAGAGGCGGCAAGGCTTCAGCGCATCGCCTAATGGCGATTTTTTAGGAATTATCGGGATTGCAAGTTCAAAAGTTGGAGGGTTTTCGGATGCTCCAACATGGGAGGCCACGCAGACTACACAGCTGCAGATTGAGATGGACAAGAGAGAACGCACGAGCTGAAGTCAGCAGAGCAGAGCATGGCACTCAGACAAAAACTTCAATTCAAGGTCGGAACTTTGCGATGTCCTCGACGGTGGAATCAACGGTCTCCGTGCCGTTGACACCAATGACCTCTGCGTGCTCAGCCTAAACCACTTGCAGGATCTCTCTATCCCCAAGACCACCCCGAGAGGTTCTTCGGAAGCCTTCAACATGCAAGCTTCATCAGCGAAACGATGAGACACACTCCTCAGCACAGAAGTCGGATAGACTGACTGCGCACCAATTCGGATCCTGCCAGGCCTTCTACTTCATGGCGAGGGAAGTCTTGTTCAGTCAGCCAGTCTTGTTGAGACCATACCGTACATGTGATGCAAAACTGGAGCGTTTACGTCCGAGCGAAACCCCAGTGGAAGTTCTGAAATCACTGAAAGTCTCCACGCAGCTTGAAGCATCATGATGTAAGAGCCTTGCACTTTAACACCATCGATCTAGCTTATAGTTATGTGCAGAATGCGGCCTGAAATTATGCGGTAGTCTGGCTATCGCGGGGGATCAGCTTGACAGGCATATCAAATGGACATCACGCATCACGGGAAAGCAGAATCTCGTCAAGTGCGCCTTGAAGAATCTGTCAACAGTCTACAACAGATATTCCCCTCAAGTTCTGGCATGATGCAGATCTGACATGTCGCTAACGTTCTCTTCCAAGTCCTAAGCTCGTTGCTCTGTCGCCCTCCAAGACCCACATACCATTGTCCTCCTCGGTGATGCAGACCTTCCTCCCAGGCTTGCTAAGCTAAGACTAAGACAGGCCATGCAGACTCTGGAGGTGGGAAACCCATCGCAACGCCTTTCACGGCTGGCGTCACTATGCCTGAAAGCGTGCGCAGCTGTAGCGCGTCCTGTTGAGCTTGTCCGCATTGCTCTCCGGGGTGATAGTACTGATGCCCACGCCTCGAACACCCGAAAACTGCCCCTTGCCCATCGCTGCACTGCGCTCTCCCCGTCCTCGGCCATCAGGGAAGGCCTCCAATGCCAAGCCCAGTGGCTTCCTTCGACTCTCACTGACACCGCTTCAGCAGGCTTTGTTGGGGCCCCTTGCGCTAAGTGAAGCGCGGGATGGAGACGTCGAACACAGCGCGATCTCCACCTTAGATCGACAGCGGGCTTTGACATCCCGTTTCACTCCACGTCTTGGTCACGCAAAGTCTCTTCCCGCGGTTCGGAAGATGCTTCAACTGCCCCCTCGCAACTTACTCCGGAACCCTGCAACATCTCTCGTTTGTTATCATTACCTCCGAGGCCATCGTCTGAACAGCCCTTTGTGGGGATTATGCTAAACGTCCTCCGCAAGAGGAACCATTGGGAATAGACTTCCTTGTAGGGTGCCTGGTTTGGGGACAGGTATGTTGAACAACTTCCATTGCTATATCTGCCCAGAGTGCAGGCACTGGCTGCGGAAAACTCAATCCGGAAAGTTGCAAGGAATAGGGCTGGCACTGATGCGCTTCACCTTCCTGAACCACTCCACCCTGTCCGTGTCTGCAAAGAGATGCCACGTCGAATCGCACAACTTCGGAACCCAACAGACTCCCAACATCAACGGGCATCCTTGTGGTCCCTCTTATCCGCGAGCATCGGCAACATGTTCACTGCGACTGTCCATCGGTATGCTTTGGAGCTTTGAACATCTTTGAACCCTTGCATGCCCAAACATCCGATGAACGGTTCTTGTCAACCTTCCCAGAGAAGCGGCATCCCCCCCGAATAACAGAAGAACGGAGCCCAACCTAGTGGCTCGCAGCGCTGTAGACTTGCGAGCACGCACGGCCTCATTTTAGTGGCCACCCGTTGACTGCGATGAGACGTTCACGAGAAAGAGGACTCCCAGAAACATGAAGAATGCAAAAATGACATCCGAAGGCCACGAGAAGGCACGCCCAACTGTGCCCGCCACGACTGCACCGGCAAGCGCCACGGCAGCCAGACTCCCAGGGAGCCCCAGGCCCTCGCAGTGCCGTTTCTTTAGCATAGCCGGCTTTCTTTTCGCCTGCTACCAGGTACTATCATTACTGTTCTGAGCCGCCTTCCAAGTTCCGTCCTGACAGGACCCTACCAGTAAGTCGGGAGCCTGACGAGGTGCAGTGCCCCAGGCTCTGAGCACTTCAACCCAGTAGTATTGCTTTTTTTCAGTTCTTTATGGTCCACCGAACTCTGCCTGTAGGGCCTTATGCCCTATGGCCGTCGACAAACACTACAATTCTCGCTGTCCAAGACAGGCCATCTTCACGCGCATGCGAAGCACATCAGCAAGTGCCTGGGGGCCACCAGAAACTGTGCTCGTCTGGGGCCGGACGGTGCCTCGCAAGTCTGAGCGCTCCCACGTCAGCTAAAACTTCATCCGAGCTGTGCCTCGCAGGGACGCCCCGGCGCCAGCATTGGTGCGGGCGGGGCCTGCGAGCCGAGCACCATGAGCTTCCACGGAATACACAGGGCTGCAAGGGACGCCACCCAGCCTACGAAGCTCAGGGCCGCGTGGAGCGCAGCCACCAGGGCTGCGGCCACAGCCGCCTTTGCGAAGGCCCCCCAGGTGCAACCCGAATTCTCGCCTGAAAACAAGTCTAGAGCTCCTTTTGCTCTGGAATGGAACTGAGACATCACCATCCAGTCACCGGCCTGCTTGGCGAGCATGGCCGGGACCGAAACCTGCTCACCCGAAGAGGAAAGCTCCAGCTCAAGCTGCCCCTCGCCCAACATAACATCGAATACCCATCAACCGGAATCGCTCCCTTCACATCGCTCCGTCAGAAGTTTTCTGGGTCCGCTCGGGCCTGGGGTCTGGCCGAGTCGGGGTTTTCGCACTGAGAGCAAGCGGCGACGGATCAGCTCACGGCTTGCCATTGGGGGTGCATTGACGCGTATTTTCTGTACTGCCGTACGACAAATCAGATGCGTAAGGCCCTCTTGAACCCTTGAACCCTCATGGATCTCACTTGAGGTGCTTGGCAAGCTTCTTGACTCGGAAGCGACGCTGAGTACTCAGCCCTGCACCATGCACCTAGACTGGAGAATTTCCCAGAAAGGTCCAGCATTCAAGAAATAGATGCATGCCCAGAGATTCACTTCTGCAGAAATCCCTTGATAGGATCCTGTTCTGCAGAGATCCTGACGTGGGAGAGAGACATTCTGGGAAACCTCCACGTTAAAAATTGGATTGGGGGCCACGCGCCCAGCCTTGCAAGGAGACTGGAAAATCGTCAGTAAGCGACATTTGTGCACAAGCGTCCAAACCCAAACCGCAGAGTTCGTGAGCTTCTCCTAGCACCCAAACAGATTTCGCACTCCCTATTTTAGAAAAAGCCCAAGCTTATGAGCCCGACGCTGACCTGTGCGAGTGCAAAACTGTCGGGACTGGCCGCTCAGTCCCTCCGACGAACGGTGAATCTTACCATAGGCTTATCAGTCTTATCTTACATTCTTACGCTGCAGGAACTCAACTGGAACTCATCTATTCCTCAGACCTGCTCTCACGAGTCTGCATGCGGGATACATCGCTTGGATACAGCCTTACAGCCTTGTAGTCAACATGTGGAACCTCACCGACCCGCGAGTCTCGAGGCTCTCTGTTTGCTTTGCTTGGCTCTCCCAAGCAGCCCGCAGCGCGGGGAGAAGGCAAGGAGCCGTGCCATCTCACGGCTGTGCCTGGCTACAGGGATGGGCAGCTACAGCACCGGGACGCCGAGACGCTGAGGCTGCTACGCTGGGCGTGGACTTCGCGAGCTCCATCTCTTCCTGCACCGCAGTTGTTCCGAGCTGCGGAGCTGCGGAGCTCTGGGTTCGAGCAAAGGGCCGCACCTCGTTCATCTCTGCATCGATGTCGCCGAACAGAGGCGTCGACAGGTACCGCCTTTCGGGAAAAAAATGTTCTCAGGCATAGTAGTGTATCAGTACCAACGTAAAGACTTCTGGAGTCTCTCCTCCCTGGCTAGAACTACCTTGCTGCCAGCCCCTGCCCTCGCATGTGCAGCGACAGACGCAGCGACGAAATGCAATGGGCCCCTGCTCAGCAGTGTCGGGAATCATTGCCAGGATTGTAGAGCCAGACGGCCTCAACTCGGCGGTGGAAGCTCCCAAGGCACAGACCCTCGCAGGACCTTCCACTCGAGCAAGCGGTCCACTGAGCAACGAGCGCTTTTGCCGCAACCTGGCACTCGGAATGACATTCCGGAACACTCATATTTCAGACTCGCCTCCAGTGCTGTTGCCACGGTTGCTCCACCGGAGGTCCCGCAGAAGATGCCCTCCATCCTGACCGAGAATGTAAAAACAGCTGACGCACGGCACGGCACAAGCCACGACTCCCCCTCCTTGCCAAAGCGTGTGAGGTCTTCATAGCCTCCGGATCAGGTCTCCGAAGCTCAGAACCATGTAAAAGCGTTGACTCGGCAACTGTGATCAATACCCTGACTGCAAGAGCCCATAAAGGAAGCGTCACAATCACTTCTCGTCACATGAAGCAGACCAAGTCAGTCGTACACTAGGCCCAAATATTTGCACTGCTTAGAAAACCAGTATGGTGAGCTCAGTGGAATCCTAGTGAAAGCGAGGGCAGTGCATGCTGCAGCATCAGTGGTGCATAGTGTGACCATGAACTGCCTCCTGCGGGTCGACGGTCAGGACCTCACGAGGCAGGGACGATGTGCAATGGCTCTACCATTCCGACCTATTGGATCTCCGAGTGCCCGTACGTCATCGTGGACCTTCATCTCCAGACCATCCTGGGCGCCACAGACGCACACAGCGCCAGATCTAAAAGCCACAAGCAGGTTATGCACCGTTGCATCGCTCCTGGACGCAGTTGCATGGGACTCAACTCTTGGGGCCTGGCCTCCGTCACTTTCGGGATGAAGTTCGGTGTCCATCCTCGTTTTCGGACATATGTGGTGCTGTGAAGGCTAGAACCAAAGAAGCCTGTGATTGCGACTCAGTGCCTCAGCGCCGCACCCTGGATAGGATGAGGATTCCAGGCCTTAGCGGCAAAGGCTCCTCCCGCCCGGCACGCTGTCCGCCGCCCTCCGCCCCCATTGCTTTGCATCAATGAGCGTCTCCGTGCTGCTCGGCGGCATCACGGAGCACAGTGCCCTTCATGCCGCGGCCGGCTCTAGGCGAACCTCCTCCTAGATTGCCACCAGAACCCGGCCATAAACACCGGAAATGTAAAAAGTGTCCGAAAGACTGCAAAAGCCCGCAAAAGCCCGACCTGTGCCCCTGCAGACAAGCGGTGACCGCTAGGCCCTGGGCCGGGTGCCCCTTCGCCGGTGCGCCTTGGTAGTGAGCGATTTGCCTGCGCTAGAATCCGCATTGCAGACAGAAAACGTATTTTGCAGAGAGCAGGGCCTGAACAGGGTGGTAAAGCAAGCACAAACAGGCTGGTCATGCCTGGTCTGCCTCACGACCTACGCTGGCAACAATCCTAGAGAACCACACACACAGTTGATACTCTCCAAACAAACCCGTCCGGCACATCACCATGGTGCTTTGAGAAGGCGAAGGCAGGCAATCCCGCCGAGAAGTCATTGAACGAAAAGTCTGTCATCCACGCTCTATCTCTTCAGGACGAAGAGAGAATTCCTCAAGAGCGACCTGGCCCAACTCTCCAAGACGTCGACCGAATTTTCCCAGAACCTCCTTCCTCTCCTGCCAAGCACTGGTACAGGTGCGGAGAAAAGCCAAGGATCTCCCAGACCCTGAGTGTACATCAGCAGCTACTGCGACACAGAGGCCAGGAAGCCTCTTCTAAAGCTACCCAGAATCGCAAAGCCGGTTTGGCAAAAGACACCTCCGGTTCAATCCGGTTCGATCCATCATCCTGCTCAAGACTTAAGAAGTATGCAAAGCTGTCCTGCTTGATGCCACTGGTGATCAATGCTGCGCCCTGCTGTTGAGCGATGCCGATTTATCCGAAGTTGTGCTTGCTTCGAGATGTCGCCCGATCTCGATTTAGGCTTGGGTTTGTGACTTGTTGCACGTGACAGCATGACGGGAAGCAACACATGTCGGCATTTTCCTCAAGCAGCAGGTAACATTCCATGATCCATGCCTTGGGCTCCGAGAGGATGATCTTGAGGCCAGGACGTGCCTCCGCATGCGACAACGGCCCGGGGCCCATGAGCCAGTGGAGCCCGGAGCCTCCTTCAGCACTTTGCCTGCTCCTTGGAAAGTGCCGCCGGTCCCATAACCTGTCACCTCAAATGGACAAGAAACCTCACATGCCCTCAAGGGATCGAGGTGGTCTGGAGCATTTTATTTTGAGCAACACAAGGGTCTGAGTCGGTCTGAGTATGTCTCTGTGTAGACATGCCTTCGTGATGCAATTGATTTGGTTGTTACATGATGTTAGGTGCGTTTGGTTTGGTGCTCGGTTCGCTTGCGAAGATCGACATAAATTCGCATCGATGGCGCCTGACACACCGAAACGGTCAGCAGGCCTGCGATGACGACTTGCATGCTCGACACACGGAAAAACAACCAGCTCAGTCGGACCGCTGAATCAGCCGAGCGACCCAGTAGTCCAGGCTCTTGCCCTCGAAGTCCCTGCACATGCTGTGGCCGTCGCAATCACATTGTTAAGCCCAAGCATGTGAGTTGCCAACAACTCGGCAGCTGCCACAGCTTTCGGCTTATGTCAAGCTAAGATCCTATGGCCCTGTAATTTTGAATTCTGCGAAGCTTCATTGAGTCGGTTTACGGCTTTCGGATGCGACAAGGCATTCTGGACTCAGCGGCAAACCTCAAATCCTGCTGGATTCATCCTGCCTAGGTCGTGTTTCCTCACACCTCCCTGGACACCAGAAAGTCTGAGTGGATATGACTGCATTCGCCAATGTCTTGAGTGCACGGCGCGAGGATCTCGGGCCCAGTTGTCTTGGCCTCAACTGGGATTCGACTTTCCACGCAAGGCATCAGCCACATCTTAGGTTTAAGTATTGAAATATTATTCAGACTTGCGGCCTTCACATGCTCACATGCTCGTCATGACCAGCAAAGGCGGCCCTCAACCACTAAAAACCCACAATGTGCCAGAAGTCAGATGAATCATCCCTCGGTCTTGCACGGCTTTCACCGTCAGAGGCACACGCGTGGTAGGCAGGATTCGCCTGGTGGAATCTGAGAGCAAAGCGAAGCTGGGCTCGACAGACTACAGGACTCTCGTCTCTGTGATCGAAAAACCCTGCGAACATCAGGTGTTCCAAACACAAACAGACCACACCGGATTTGGCTTCGGCCTCGTTTTCGAACTGCCGAGCCAGATACCAGCCGTGTTTCTCGGCCAACTCCTGCACTCAAGCTAGGAATCATTAGCAGAATGAACAGTCTTCAGTGACTGGAACAAACGTTGACAGATCGATGATAGGCTGGGGTCGTGCACAACCCCCACCAGCCGGAGAAGAAGGTGAAGAGTGAAGAAGAGGCTTTTTGACTGGCAAACACTTTCACAAAGCCTCGGCTTTCAAAGTGCCACCTAAGTCTATGACACGCAAGTAAAACGACCACGAAGCCGCGGCTGCCATGAAGCCTCGGCTTTGAGCACCATGCCAGTGCCACCCAACGGTGCCGGCGTCACCTCAGCTTCTCCTCACACGTACACCAACTGCAGACAACCCGTCTTGCCAAGAGGACGAAGCCGTCCCACTTCCCCAGCTTAGTAGTAGCCAGACTCTGCAAGAGTCAGCGGGTTCAAGGGAGCCCTGAGAGCCTGGCAACGACTTTCGCACCCAGCATCCGCATCACCTCACAAAGACGAGCAGCAGCGACGACCGGATCTGCGATGTGCGGGCCTTCCGCCGCTCCACCGAGAAGGAGGCTGCCATGGTGGAGACGAACTTGTACCCTCGCTGGGCACAGACCTCGCTCGCGCATGGACTCCGGTGTCGTGGCCACAGTGATGTGTATTCGTGCTGCACACGTTTACAGAAACAGCCATGAAAACCCGATCGAATCAAACTACCTCTGCCGTCAAAAATCCTGGTGCTCCACAAAGCTGGCAGCCGACCTTTCCTGCCGCCGGGCCACCATTGCCAGTGCGATGCCGGTGTTGCCACTTGTCGCCTGCACGGCCAGTCGCAAGAAGTAGTGTCTCTCAAAGCGTAGGGAGACCTCCACAACCGTGCCACCAGGCCTGAGATAGAGACAGACTCCCAAGAAAGCTAAAGGGGAAAGCTCGGAGCCGGGCTTCAGCTCTCCCCGCTGCTCAGCGTCCTGATGCTTTCCCGCTCTGGCAGAAGAAATGTTTTTGTTCGCTTTGCGGCCGGACCTCGATGATGGCAATGGCAAGCCGATCCTGCGAGGTCTGCGGGAGGCGGCATGGAGTGAGCGGCTCATGACTTGAACAGCGCGGGCGCGCACAGAGCCCTCGTGATGCTGAACAAAGGTACGAATCGGAAAACTTCCCCCCCGATCGAAGGCTCGGCCTTTACAGAGCTCAGCGGGTTGAAGTACTCGCACCTGCGTTGCGAGTTCACGACTGCTCCTTCTGCAATGACATTTTCACCGATGAGCGGCTCCCTGCGAATGAGAACGGTTCTGAGCTTGGGCACTTCACGTAAAGGTTGATGCCGGCGGGCGCCAGCCGGTTCACCTGCCAGGCTCCGAGAGGCCGAGCCGGCCTGGCTTCCAAATGGGCGTTGCCTTGATCACGGGAGTTTTGCCGATGGCCTCTGTGATGTTGTTGTACACAGCGCCTGCAACACCAGAGCCAGCATTGCATCCCAATTCCTAAACCCGGCACTCTGCTCTGTCTGCTGAGGCACTTGCGTCGGGGGACAGAGGTGGAGATGCCCCTGATTGCACATCCACGTGCTCTGCATGCTGGACTGTTCTAAGTTTTAATCGTGCTTGGGTATGCATGGATTACCCGCAGGTGGCACGGCTTACATCAAACAGCGTCCAATAGTCTTCATGCCGACAGCTGCAGGTGCAAAGAACTTAATCCTGTCCCGTGGGCTCTTCAATTTGCTTCGGTATCAGCACAAACATCACCAGCACCCTCTTGCCGGAAAGAACTTCAAAAGCCAGGCGGGCGAGCCTTGTAAACACAAAGCCCCTGGCGACTGGATTTCTGATCTCATTTCCAGCGATATCATGCCGAACTGCACGATTTCAGCACGATCTACTTGCAAGTCCAACTGATTTCCATCATCCTCTGCAGAGCTGCAGCTCTCACAAACAAACGACATTGGCCTGCTGCCAATCATTTTGCCACTCGCCTGCCAACACCCACGGCTTGGACAGATACCTTTACGGCCCATACACTTAAATCCACAGCGCAGGTTACTGCTGCCAAGCCTTGAAGTGTTAAGACGCAATGTTGGCAAACTGCGGGCCTACGCGGCTGCAACAAATGGAGGTTTCGGTCTTGCACGCCCACACTCTATAACTCAAGAAGCTCGGCAGGATCACACAAGCGAGGGCCGAGGGGCTGAGGGTTTAAGGTTCTCCAGGTCTCAGGTCTTCGGGTCGAGGTGGTACTTTGGGCATTTTGGGTTGAGGGAGAAAGGCTCAAGAACCAGAAAGCTTCGGAAAGGCGCAGCAGATCATCCCGGATGCACGCCACGACCCACAGCTCCTCCGAGACACCGTGCTGTCCATCAAGGCCGTTGATCGTAATGAGACGAGCTGCCATATCTAGTAGTACTTGTGATAACCCTGTCGATGCCAGCGCAGAACGAGTAGCGAAAGTCATAGCCACAGAGCAAGCAATCAACATGTCAGTAATGCCAAGAAGAGCCATGAGCAGTAGTCGTTTTCAGCATCGTAGTCGTCGTCATCATCATGGCCATAGAAGCAGCAGCAACAAACTTAGAACTGCAATTCAAAGCATTGGCAGGTATCGGACTCATGCTTCTAATGGTAATGGGTGGTGGCAGCGGTACTAGCACTGGCCACAAAACACTTCTAGCCGTTTTTGGAGTACAGTGGTGTGCGCTTGTCTGAGTTTCATGTTCAGAGTTTAGACCCTCTGGACATTGCGCGGGCACTACCATCACGGCGGTTTTGCCCTTGAGGTGGGGGTCCCTGCTCAAGATTGCCCAGCGTAACGGTCATGATACCGTCGTCCGGTTACGTGAGCCACTTTGAGTGCGTCTTGAAAGTGCCAGAATCAGCGGCACTTCAGCTCATGAGCACTTGGAATACAACGAGATCTTGACTTCCCAGCCCCACTATAGGCCCTTCGTGCTAGCACCGCGAGGAACTGGAGAAGAAGTCGCAGGAACTCCTCCGCCCTCGAACCTCTCGTTAGTGACCCTTCCTACAAGGGCAAAGACAGATACTCATTCTATTTAGCCGCAAAATACGGAACTTTTCCTTTGACCGTACCGCCCTCAGGGCCCAGAGCCCAAAGTGTTCCACGGTTTCGCGGCAGAGGCATCCTTCCGCAGCCTGGAGAACTCTGGCAACTTCCTGGAGCACAAGGTCTCCAGGTCGAGGTGCGAGGGAGGGGGTGGTCACGTGGGGCCAGGCAGGAAGGTAGCAGACTTCATTCCCGAAGATTTCCTACACGACTGTGGTATACTAAATACCGACGCCAATTCTGCATGGTTGATTCGGCCGCCGGAGGGCTTTAGGGGCTTGTGTTGCCGGGAATGTTGGGGTTGGGAGGAGATGGGAGGAGATGTAGGGCTCAGGTATGTATATGCACGGGAACATGCCGTTCTTGATAGGGGATTTTATGTAAGTTAACATAATAAAGAAGCCATATTATTTACTTATGGTACCTTAAATAAAATCCCCTAACAAGAACCCTTTATATCGTGACTGTTGACTGGTCTATAAGTGATGAGCCTCTTCCATCCTTTCAAAACTCAAAAAGGTGAAAGGCCTTCAGCCAGAAGTGTACTGTCTTCCGAGGCCTCAGTGCTCCGAGACGGTTTCCCCTCAGTCTGCCACCGGAGGCCCCTAAACTAACCCAAACCCTAAGACCGAACCCATCCAACCCTAAACCCTAACCCTAAATCCTAAACCCCCAACCGTAAAACGTATACCCCTAAACCCTAAACCCCGAAAACCCTAAACCCTAAACCGTTTTCTGAAGACTCGAGTTGTTCATCAAAACCTGATTCGCAGGATCCTTCATTTTGTGGGCTAGATTACGAACCCCTGCATGTCACACCACTACCCCCCCAAACCCCACAAGCCTAGATCCGGCGCCGAGTTTGCGCGGAACAGGCTGAACACTAAACCCCAAAAGCCGTAGCCAATAACTTTTGGCCCAAATCTCCAAATCCTAAGCACGCTGCCCTCCAAGAAATGCTTAAGGCTCCATGGAGCCAACGTAAGAAATTCAACAGTGCCGGAACCCCTCAAGCACACACGAAAATTGCTTTAAGCAGCATGGTGATGATGATGATCTCTGTCGGACGGTAGCCTTCTCCCCACGCTTGTGAGGCAGCTCTCTGCCCCCAAAACAAGGTGCCGCATCGCGGACCTCCCAACATGTCAGCACTCCCCGCCGGCAGCTGCTTGTCGTCCTTGTTGTCAAAGTCAGCCCAGCCGCACTGGCTACTCCTGCCTGCCGGTCTCTCAGTTCCTCCTTCTAAGTGGGTGTAGACCGTCCAGTCTGACGCACCGCTAACCACACTGAGCTCACTCAAACGGTGGTGCACCTCCACGTCGCCTGCTGCCTCAGGCGGGTCACCACAGTGTCTCTTGCACGGGGGCGTAAGTCCTGTGTGGCCCTTCTCGAAACTGTTTGGCGCAGTGCTCCTCCTAGGGGTCGTGACCTCACCAGCAGATGGCGCAGCGTTCCCTGCCGCCCCAGCCTGCGTAGTGTCCGTCAGCGCCGTCGTGTCCATGTCAGATGCAACCGCTGCCTTGGCTGCTCTCTTTTGTTGGCGCTTGCGACGCCGCTTGGCCCGAATGGCCTCGCGCCGTGCTCCTTCCAGTTCCTTCCTCATCACCTCCGACGGAGACACCAGCGGGAGCGTGCTGAGGCACCTGGGACTGACGCCGCTGGTTGGCCACCACAGTGCCCGCTGGTCGAAACACAGCTGACACTGCCGCGGCAGCAACTGCAGCGACAGTCCTTCTGGGCGCAGGAGCATCGCAGGCGGCGCGAATCGCAGCTGCCACGACAGCACGGTGAAAAAGACCCCTGACAAATCATTGACTATGTCCTTGGAAGCATACCTCCTACAACACCTTTGCCGGCAGCCCCAAACCCTAAGCCCATCAACCCTGAAACGCTTGAATCCTTTAACCGTTGAGCCCTTAAGCTTAAAGCCTCAAGCCCCTAAACCCTAGACCCTAAAACCCTAAACCCTTAAAGCCCTAAAACCCTAAAGCCCTAAACCCTAAAACCCTAAAGCCCTAAACCCTAAAACCCTAGACCCTAAACCCTAAAGCCCTAAAGCCCTAAAGCCGTACAGCCCTAAACCCTACACCCTAAAGCCCT